ATTGTTTGCATAACCAGTCTTGTGCTGTGAGTATTCCTAGTTGTTCTATGTCTTTGGTTGCTGTTGCAAATGATTTTTTCCCCATTTTCGGACCCACTTTTATTGACACAAAGGGTATTGATATTTAAAAAATATCTCAAATCTGAGCTCTTTATTTCATTCTCAGTAATTATTAGAGTTGGTTTTTATAGATTTTGTTGATATCTAATATTTTAGCATTTATACATTTAAGAAACATTTTTGCTAGCATATATTAGTTGTGCGGGGGAGGCTTATTGTGACATTTCCATATATGCTTTCAGTGTACCTTGGTTAGGTTCATCCCCATAATATCTAATCACAGTATCTACAAATGAAAATTTACTTTTCTTTTCCAAGAGTTGTCTCAGTTGGCCAGAAATTCCGCAGCAGTATTAACTAACAGTGTTAATAGTTGGTATTCTTGTCACAGAAAAGCTAAAATCAGGGTTAAGGAAAACTATAGACAACTTTCTATTAACACTAAAATTATAGCTGAAAACAGTTCATCCTTAAGCATCTGAGATTAAATGAACTACTTTGAAAATTTACAGTGTATCAGTGCATAAAAACCTTCAAGGTGTGTGTTTGTCCAGCAGGGGGCAACATCTGATTACCACTGACTGATAACTTTAACAGGAATGGAACCAGACTTCAGGTCTAGGTTATAGTTGGAAAAACAAGGCTTCAAGGAAGCTGGTTGAGTTAGTCTCTAGACTCCCTGTTTCATTTCCTTGAGGGCAGTTTCTGCCATGGTGGCAACTAGGGTCTCTCTCCAGAAAGACTGTAAGGGAGAACTAGTGGTGGAAGTTACTGCTTTGTGGATTGTAGGTCTGATGTAGTAATGAGATTGGTTTTCTCATTCTAGGAAGGTTGATAGACCACCTCATCCCTATAAAGTTCATGGTGGAAAAGGGTTGGATTAGTTGGTCCTCTACACTATTCTTATTTATACAATTGTTGTAGAAACCTGAAGCTATAAATATGTAAATGGGAACTGTTTTTATTTTGTTAGGATTTTTTTCCCTCCACATTGTCACCTTAGTAGATATACTTCTTGATACTTAACAAACCATTCCAAAGCACTTATTTATCTTAAAATTCTGCTTGTTGACAATTTAGGCTGAAATTAACTGGGTGGTTCTTATGTTCTCAGCTGGCTCACTCATGAGTCTGGGGGCAACTCTGGTTAAAGTTAGGTGGTTTTGCTGGGAGTTGGCTGGGTGTTGGCCAGGAGGATCTCAGTTCTTCTCCATAAGTTGCCTTTTCCTCCAGAAGCTTAGGCTTTTATTCATAGTAGTAGTAGAAATCTGAGAGAGAGCAAATGCAAGCAAAACCTGTTTACTTATAACTGGGTTGTTACTTCTGTCGCATTGTTGGCTAGCTGCATTTTGTTGATCTGGGAGTAGGGATGTAGATTCTTTGTCTCTGTCCTTTTCACCTCTCTCCCCATCTCTCCTCCCCTCTCCCCTCTCTCCCCTTCCCCTTCCTTCTCCCTCCCCTCCCCTTCCCATTTAAATGGAAGTAGAAAGAGGCTTGCCACTGGGTAAGTTAGAATGAGTTATACAACTCTGGCTGCCTCAAACTCATCCTTCTACTATATAAACACTGTGTCTTCTAAACAGCAGGCAGGAAAAGGGAGAAGGCAGCAAGTCCCTTTCTCAGCAGCAGAATTATTATTTCCCAGAGCAAAGCAATCATTTTCATGGTATGTAGCAATTAGACAACCGGGCCCACTATTAAATTGTCTTTAGGCCTGATGTCTCAGACTTTCAGATGGTGAAACTATCTGAGGTTTCTCATCATAGATTCATTTAATTTTGGTAGGGTGTGCTGTCGTCTTTTTCTGTACCTTTGAATGGATTTTTGTAAGAAAATGGGAGAGGACACACTGGGGGAGTGTATTCTGGTGCCTTCTTAAGCTGAGTTCAAAGTGCATTTAGTTAGCACATTAAATCGAAAAGATGGGATGAATATAAAAGCATGGCAACTTGAAATGGCAGTATTCAAAGGGCTGATTGCTGCTTTTGTTAACGTGTGCAATGTTGTTATAATGTGAATAAAAACACCATTCTATTATAAGTTCATAACTATATATATTTCTTTACTTTCAAAGTTTGCTCTTGGAATTTGGCTTTTTTCTCTCTGGTCCTTCGTGGACATCTGTGATCGATCTAGAAGATGCCTGTCAAGGAAGTTGAAAGGTTGAAGGACCAGAAAGGCTGCTTCCACAGTTCACTGAGCCAGCTTTTGGAATATCAGAACACAATAGCTGTCAGAGCTAATTGTGGTAGTTACTTCCTTATATGCTATTTTCCCCTTAGCTGTCTTATCTCTGGCAGCTGTTTCTGGCTGCTAAGTTTATAATCTAATGGTAAAATTACAACCTCAGGTACTCTATTTCATTGGCAAATAACTAGAGTCTCTGCACTGGAGAGGTACAATTTGGTGTTAGGTACTTGATTATTATTTCTGTACTCTCATGATAGAACTTAAATGATATTCACCATTTTCTTTAAACACTACTTGGTTTAAACAGCTTCTGAAATACTTTAGCACTGAAGCTGACCAATTTGGTTTATGAAACAATTGTCTATACGTTGTTATCTCCAGTTATGTGTTTAATATAATGCTAAATTTTGACAAGAATTATTTAATTTTCCTATTACAGTAACGTGTGTGTGTGTGTGTGTGTGTGTGTATTTACAAATGCCATGTAAATCAGGGACTCCTAGTTAGGAAATCAGAATCTTGTTTCCCAACTAGGTCTATGCTCTTAAACTGGGCTCCCAGGAACATCTGCAGGCTATTTATAGAAGTGTGTCTCTGCTGTAATGGATAATGCGACTCTTTTTCCAGTTTACAGAAAAATTGGTTTTGGTTTTAAATTTTTCAGTCCTTTCATGTGATTTACAACTATATGGCTTGTAGGAAATAAACAGGAGAAAGGCAGAGCAGTAAATCATTCATGTTTAGTTCACATGCTTATTTTTTTCTTTGATACTTGCTTATAATATTTATATTACCTGGTTAATATGCTTTATACTAATCATTCTAGATTTTCTACTGAAATTAAGATTTGTACAGTGCTGTGCAAAGAGCACAGAGACTTCTAAGAACCCTGTCACTGGAATGACTTGGGAACTGCTGAGCTTATCATTCCATAAGATATTAGAGAGCAAAGACTTTTGTTGTCATCATCATGATCATATGATCAAAATCCATATTAGACCTTGTTTCTTCTAGTGCTCGGGATGAACCCAGGGTCTTGTGCATGCTAAGCAAATGCTGTACCACTGAGCTACATCCTCAACCCCCATTAAAGACTTTTAAGTGGAAAGTTACATGAGGAAAATCAGACTTAGGGTCTTCTTGTATAGCCCAGGCTGGTCTCAAACTTGCAATTGCTGGGATTATAGGTATATACCACCACGTCCACCTTTGGAGTTGATATTTTTGGGTAATGTTTTGGGGAGTTTTTTGGAAGTATTAGAGGGTGAGAATCAGCAAAGGAATAAAGATGGAGTGTATTTACTCTAAACAACATTGAGTTCAATTCCTTTTAAGTATTTGATTAAAAGCTCCTAAAACTCTAGCATTATGACCCAAATTAAAATATTAGGGTGGTTTTTCCCTTTTTTTGTTTAGTGAGTTAATTTTGAATTAATTAAAGGTGGTTCTTATAATTATTAAAATCTTGGGCAGCAATTCAGTATGTAGACTCATAAAGAAGTGATTAATCATAAGTCTTCAATTACAGGGCCATAGTATAACTGTTAAAATGACAACTAAATGGAGAAAGACTAGTCCTTGTAGGGAAAAGAAGCATACAAGACACATGGCTATGTGTATGGTGTGGTGGGGAATGGGGAAGGGAGTATAAAATGGACTAAGATGGACTTTGACCTCAGGAACTTTGTGTGGAGATAAACAATAAAGGTAATTTACATAGTAGATAGGAGTAACAGTCAGAGGAATTACAGATCAGGTGCTATGAGAATTTAAAGAATATTTGAACTGGAAAAATTCTGTAGGAGATGGCATCGTTTGAGTTAGTGAGTTTTGAACAAGCACAACCCACAACCTGGTAAGGAGCATTGTATGTCAGGGGAGAAATGTGACATTACTAATGACTCTGACCCACACACAAGTGATTATTGAATATCTGCATGGTGACTGGAGTTGGGTGGCATTTGTTTTCTTCCACGGATTTAGTCAGTGTGATACATGTGTGACAGGCACTGTGTACCAGGCACTGTGGCAGATCAGTGCTGGGAATATAACAAGATGACCCTCGGGGAACTGTAGTTTTATAGGAGAGGCAGATAAAACTGAAAAGCTAATGAATGTATAAATTCAAAGTGAGAAGGACTGATAGGCTACTGAATAACTCAGGTGAGGGGGAGTGACTGATAGTCAGGGAAGCTTTGAGGAAGCCAAATGTAAACTGAAACCGATCTTAGGTAGGAGTTTACCTTTTGGGATTTTTATCCCATTTAAAGTCTACCATTGTTGCTATCCCAAAACATTTAATTCAGCTAAATTGCTCTCCCGTAAAACACAAATAGTAAAATTTCTCTTTTCCATCAGTATTTGCTTTATCCATTGCTGAATTACTACTACCATTATTTTTTGGTAGTACTGGAGTTTGAAATTGGGGGTCATATGTTTGAGCCACACCTCTAGCCCTTTTTTTGCTTTTTTTTTTTTTTTAGGTGGGGTCTCATGTTTTTGCCCAGGGCCAGCATCAGATCATAATCTTCCTACTTGCAGCTTCCTGTGTACCTAGGATGACAGGTACACAGTGTCACACCTGTCTTATTTGTTGAGATGGGGATCTCACTTTTTGCCAAGCTGGCCTTTATCTGTGATCCTCCAGTTTCCACCTCCTAAGTCACTGGTATTACAGGCATGAACCATCATGCCTTGTCTATTGCTGAATTCTTTATTGCTAAATTGATCATGTTATCCTTGTTTTGCAGAAACCAAAGCTGAAAGATTGGCATCCTCCTGGGGGCTTCATCCTGGGATTGTGGGCACTCATTATCATGGTTTTCTTTAAAACATATGGAATCAAGCATATGAAGTTCATTTTTTAGACTCAAGGATGAATGAAGAAGAACAAATGGAAGATCGCCACCTTGAATAAAAATTTACATTATGTGTTTTTTTTAAATACCTTGCTCTTGTGTAAATTGGAAAAATGTGTAAGAAAACTAAATTTTAATGAATTGTTGACTTTATAACTTAAAGAAAAATAATTGTTAATGCAATTGCTTTTTGGACACCAAATGTATCTTTTCATTTTATGTGTTATAAAAAACAAGTGAGCAAACTGATCAGAATTCTTTTTAAAAATAACAATTTCTCTTTATGGGTTATGCTCTTTTCATTTGGAAAAGAAAAATTGTGGAGGCATTAAATTCTTACTAAAAGAGGTAACTTTTGATAATTTGTTTATATCTTCCTAATCTTTTTATTTGTGCACATCTTCCCTAAAATAGAGATCATATACACTGTATTATTTTATAAGTTTTCATCATACAACAGATTATCAACCTTTTCCCCCTCCTTGAGTATTCTTTAAAGATACATTGTGAACCAGACATGGAGGTGTACACTTATACCTGAGCTATTCAGGAGGCTGAAGTGGGTCATTTGAGCCCAGGAGTTCAAGGCCAGCCTGGGCAACATGTGAGACCCTGTCTCAAAACAAAAACCATTGTGAATGACTGCACAGTTTCATTGTACAGATGTAGAGTAATCATTTGACAATCTTCTGTTGTTGGACTACCTACCTTGTTTCCAAAGTTTTCCTTTGGTTCATTTATGTATTATTATTTTGCTGTCAGTCACTCATGGAATTCTGCCTTAATTACAAGTAAATATAGAAAATTTGCTTTATTCATTTATGGTACCAGGAATCCCAAGGACCTTATTGTTGTCAGTTTATCTGGAAAATTTTAGACCTTTGAGAATTTCACTCACTGACTTTTCAAAGAAACACACCCTATTATTTCTTACATCCTATTATTTTGTGATCTTTTAGAATTGGTCACTTCCTCTTGAGTTTTTACCTTGAAAGAAACAGTCAAGAAAGACTTTCTGTTTAAGGTAGATCTTGGCCACTGGCTGGATCTACACTTTTCCTAAGGTTGGTTCCATGAAGTGAGTGACTTCTGTGAACAGTACACACTCGTGGCTCTTCCTTCATGTCTGACTGATGAATCAATGCAAGGAGCACTGCTCCTGGTCCCCAACACTGATTTTTTTTTAGCCTGCCAATTGTCTTCACATCTCTCATGACTGGAAGTAATATTGAGATTGTGTGTTGTGATCAATTCTAGAAATTTTTTCTTTTCAAAACAAAGTTCAGTATTCATGCCCCAGAGGATACCTTGTCGTGTTTTATCCATGATCTCATTGTGTTTATCTGTTTTCATTGGAAAGATCTATTTTATAATTTTAGTAACATATAGATGACAACTTACCTTCCAAAAGAGAAATTCCTTGGATCTGTGTACCTTTTTTTTTTTTTTTTTGGCAGCACTGTTTTTTTTTTGTTTCTTTATTTCACTTTTTGTGGTACTGGGGCTTGAACTCAGGGCCTCAGGCTTGCTAGGCAAGTACTTTTACTGCTTGAGCCACTCTGCCAGCCCTTTTTCTTGAAATAGGTTTCAGTGGGTTTTCTCGAAATACGGTCTCATGAACTGTTTGCCTAGGATTAGCTTTGAACTGTGATCCTCCTGAGTAGCTAGGATTATAGACATGACCCACTGAAGCCTGGCAGGATCTGTGTACCTTTTAACACTTAAAATACTGCCCTGTAATTACAAGTAAAATTTTTAGGCTTTTACAGGCAAAAAGTGGACTGTTATCTCCCCCCAGTAGAACAAATGGTGTTGAGGTTTTTGTCAGCGTTTAGTCTTTATTTTAATTATCTTTTTCTTGGTGTACTATATAAATGAAAAAGGGAAATTTTATCTGATTATATAGAGAAGCATTTTTTTTAAAAAAACATAATAAGATGGGAAAACAAAGTTAAATTTGAGTAACCTGATCATAGTAGTGCTGAAACAGAGTTTGACCATATCACTCTCCAGACATTTACACAAGGTCATGAATACCATGGTGGGGCAGAACTATTTAGAGTGGCAAAGGAATTAGGATCATTCTTAAGCCAAAGTAATTTAGTTTGAATGTAATGAAACATGCCCTGATGGTGAAGTGTGCTGGAATGTTGAAAGATCCCTCCTCAGAGATTGTAGAAGGTGCCCTTCCTAGTTAAAACCAAACTGGGAAAAGTAATGCTGGATGTAATATACAGGATTAATTTTGTCTAGGTAGTTTCAAAGGGCAATTATTTTTCCTTTTTCACTGCTGAATTTTACAGACTATAGTTGAAGCAAAAAGCTTAAACTATTGAAAAGTTAGCTTATAACTAATCTTTTTACATAAAGTATGTTCTGCTTTCAGAGTATATGTAGGAAATATTTTAAGTGCAATTATATGACCCAGCCTTCAAATGATAATATAAAAGCTCATCCTTGAATATGTTCTCCATGATTCAGAAATAGCTGAGCAACAGAAAGATTTTTTTTTAATTAAAATTTGTTTAATTAAGCATAATGTTACTTTCACATTGGTCTACAATTATAGTAAATACATTTCTTGGCATAAAGACATAGCCTTTGGAGTTTAAAATAGCCCCACTGCAAGATTACATGCATAAAACTCCAATTATTGTTTATGTAATAGTTGATTAAATAATCAAAATAATTATACTATCTAGAATAAAATGAAAATACACTATCCAAAAAATAAATTCATATTTAAGTCATCTGTTAATAAAGTACTATCCTGACAATTATAATTCTGTTAAGCTTCAATCTGACAATGTATAATGACAAATTAACAATAGTGATTTAAATTGAAAAGAGAGAAGTCAGAAGGAGATCTTTCACATTGGTCTATAATTATTAAAATGCAATTTCTTGGCATAAAGACACAACTTTGGAGTTTAAGATAGCCCCAATGCAAAATTACATACATAAAACTCCAATTAATATTTATGTAGTAGTGGATTAAGTAATCAAAATAGTTATATTATCTAGAATAAAATGAAAATAAAATATACTAAATGAAATAGAATGGAAATAAATCCATATTGAAGTCATCTATAAAAAGCTTGTGAAAATTATAATTCTATTAAGCTTTAATTTGATATAAAGCATAATGACTAAATAACAGTAGTTAAACTGAAAATGAGAAGTCAAAAGTACTTTGAAAAGAGATCTTACTTTCACATTGTTTTATAGTTGTAGTAAATACACTTTCTTGGCATAAAGATACAGCCTTGGAGTTTAAAATATCTCCACATCAAGATTACATACATAAATTGTGTATGTAATTATGTGATAGTATATTAAATAATCAAAATAGTTACACTATCTTAAAATATACTATCTAAAATGAATGTAAATAAAAGATTCATATTTAATTCATCTATTTATAAAATACTATCTTGAGAATTATAATTCTGTTAAGCTCTGAATTAAGGTAAAGAATAATGACAAAGTAACAGTGGTATTTTAAATTGAAGATGAGAGAGGTCAAAAGTTCTTTAAAAAGAGATCAAAATACTCCCAAGGTTTTTCCTCTGGTTGTAGAAGTTCAGTAGCAGGATAGTTTGAAGGTGGAATTGACCCTGAAAAGCACTTCTACTTAGAGAATGTGGGTACAGCAGGAGGGAACCCAGCTCTTGGGGAAAGATAATTAGGGAAAGCCCTCAGTGAATAGATATGGTGGGCCATGGAAGTCCCTTAGTTGAAAATAGTCTCAAGAAGCTCCAGACATATTTCCTGGAGGGGGTGGAGGAAAAGGAGGCTCTCCTCTCATGAACTGGCTCCTTGGATCCATTAGGAAGACAACCCTTGGTGGAAAAGAATATTGAGAAGTTTGAGAAATATTTCCTGGAGAAGGTGGAGGACAGGAGACCCTCTTCTCATGAACTGGCACCTTGGATTCATTGAGGACTCATCTCCTGGTGGAAAAGAATCATGAGAAGCTCCAGATAATGTTTCCTGAAGGAGGTGGAGGAGGAAAAAGAGGCCCTTCACTTATGAAGTGGCTATCTAGATTCCCTGGGAACAAATTCCTTGGGGGAAAAGGATCTTGAGAAGCTTCAAATATGTTTCCTGGAAGAGGTGGAGGAACAGGAGGGCCTCTTACCATGAACTTGCTCCTTTGATCAACTGGGAATATATCCTTTGGTGGAAAAGAATCTTGAGACACTCTAGACTTGTTTTCTTGAGGAGGAAGTGTAAAACCAGGCCCTCTTCTAATGAACTGACTACTTTGATAAATTAGGGTCTCATCCCCTGGTGAAAAACAAATTTGGAGAAGCTCCAGATATTATTCATACAGGAGGTGGAGGGGGAAAAAGAGACCTTGCTCTCATGAACTGGCTCCAAGGATCCACTGGAAAAACATCCCTTGGTGGAAAAGATTCTTGAGAAGCTCTAGACATATTCCTGGAGGAGGATGAGGAAAAAAGCCCCTCTTCACATGAACTGCAATCCATTGGCGACTCATTCCCTAGCAGAAATGAATCCGGAGTAGTCCAGATAGCTTTCCTGGAGGAAGTGGAGGAGGAAAAGGAGGCCCTCCTCATAAACTGGCTCATTGGGAACACATTCCTTGGTGGAAAAGAGTCTTGAGAAGCTCTTGGCATTTTTTTCTGGAGGAAAAGGAGACCTTCCTCTCATGAACTGGTTCTGAGGATCCACTGGGAAAACATCCCTTGGTGGAAAGGGAGGAGATGGAGGAAATGGAGGCCCTCTTCTCATGAACTGGCTCCATGGGATACATAGTGGACTCATCCCCTGGTGGGAAAGAACCTTGAGAAGCTCCAGATGTGTTTCTTGAAAGAGATGGAGGTAAAAGAGGCCCTCTTTTCCTGGTGGAAAAGAATCTTGAGAAGCTCCAGATATGTTTCCTGGGGGAGGTTTAGGAGGAAAAGGAAGCCCTCTTCTCATGAATGGCCTGCTTTGATCCATTGGGGACTCATACCCATGTGGAGAAGATCATGAGAATTCCAGATTTGTTTCCTGGAGGAGGTGGATGAAAAGGAGGCCCACTTCTCATTAACTGGCTCCTTGGATCCACTGGGAATCATCCCTTGGTCCAAATGAATCTTGAAAACTTCAGATGTTTCCTAAAGTATAAGGAGGAAAAGCGGGTACTC